CGGTCATAAACTACTGCAAGACCGTTTCAGGCTGGACATAAGGAAGAATTTCTTTACTGTCCAAGCCCCCAAGGTCTGGAACAGCCTGCCATCGGAGGTGGTTCAAGCACCTACATTGAACACCTTCAAGAGTAAATTGGATGCTTATCTTGCTGGGATCCTATGACCCCAGCTGACTTCTTGCCCCTTGGGCAGGGAGCTGGACTCGATCTTCTGAGGTCCCTTCCAACCCTAATGTCTATGAAATCTATGAAAATACACCAGGCCCCTCAAATGAACTTCCTGATTATTAAGCAATTTAAAAGCTGGTCACTTTTCCCATCCACTTACCTTTCTTCCAAAATCCAAAGCTAATAAGGTGCATATAGCGTGCCTGTACATGAGCCGGGAGGCTGCTCCAACGTGCTGTAATTACAGCACATGGCAGCAGACTCAATTAATGGAGCCTGCTGGAGCATGTTAATTACCACACTCCAGCCCTCCTCTGCATCTCATGCATCAGCGTCCCTGCGCTTCAAAATGACAGCAGGGGTGCTGTAACTCGGAGGTGCTCTAATTAAAGCACCTCCCACCCCCAGACCATGTGCAAGAATGCCCATAGTTCCTTAAAGGCCATTAACACCAGAAGCCCAGGACCTTACCTGCAGCATTGGTGCGTATATACACAATCTCGCTCTTGGCTCCATGAATGTGGTGGTTCTCCATCATTGTGAGGGTAACAGCCTTGACATAAATGGCATACTGAGTCCAAGGTTTCAGTCCCTGCAGCAAAATCCCAGGGTTGTTCTCTTTGTTTGGGGGCAGGTCGACATCCACCATGTTCCAGCTGTTTGAGCCGCACGCATCCTGCCCATCATACTCTGTCACATTCTTGAACGGTCTGAAATATTTAAAAAAAGTGGCACAGATTGTACTTTTACTTTCTCTTAAAAACACTCAAACGTTCATGAGGGAATCTCACACCAGCCTTGTCCAATGAAACTAATAAAAAAAGTTTATTTGCTTTTTATAGCAGAATAAAGAACAGAGAATCCCAGAGCCTGGGCTCATCTTTTTATTTCCAAGTGCTATAAAACTCAGAGTCTGGATTTAGCTGGGGGATTTAGACTCAGTAGTTATTGCAAAGGCAGGGTCTCAGGAGAGATGGGTACCCCTAGCTTCCTTTCCTTTCCCACAAAAGGAGAGCTGCTGCCTAATTTATCAGTGGGAATAGACATTTGCAATTCAATCATTCCCAGTCAAAAGAGAGAGGGTGTGCAAGTGTTGTCAGCAGTAAGAAAAAGCAGTGGTCACAAGACAATAAGTAGAGAGAACAAACCTGCTAAGGTATTCATTTTTTACCTGGTTCCATAAGGCGACCTAGCATCGTACAACAGGAAAATATCACACAAATAATCCCTTCCCTAAAGAGGCAACTAATTGTGCAGAATAACGACAAAGAAATCCTCATTTCCTCCCAAGAAGATAGGACTAGAAAGCAATAACAGGTATCTGGTTGCCTTGCATTTTGTAGTAATGACAAACCAACTGAATTTGCACATTAGCATAGAAGAAAACCCCAGAGACTCAGTATAAATGTTTGGCCATAGTTGTATTTCTAAAGTAGCATTGGCTAAAAAGAGAGACAAAACTGATCTGAGGATACTGACACTAGCCTGCCTTCTCCCATTTTCAAAACCAGATAATAAAATACTTCTGACCTGAATTAATAGAAGCATTGTATTAGCTGGGCAACTAAAAGAGAAGCATCTCCAAATATTTACTGGCAATGACTGAACTTTTGCCATAAGAGCACAAACTGCCCTGATGAGTAACTCAGAAGTCTACAAGCTAATCTAGTTCTTCAAATTAAAGAAACACCAATACTTAGCTTGAGATTTTTACATTCCCTTATCATTAAGCTGTACTCTTTGTACAGGTATGGAAAATAGAAGTGTATTTTATATAGCGTTAAATAAAAATAATAAACACTTATTTAACAGAATGATGATTTAATATTTTTGTGATTATATAGCAATATTTTAATAATTATTTATTATGCACATGTCAGTATTTGAGGACTCCCACCAACACCACAGGCTCTCTGGGATGCGACAATAAAAGCATTTGAACCATACTATGGTTCCAGAACTTCTGGTTCATTTTTCTCACAGCATACTTGATGCATGTAAAAGAAACAGTCCTGAACTCTTCTTTCACCCCATCTACTTTAGCCACATCTCTTTCCATATTCTCAATGCAACTAACTGACTTAATGTGCTTCCCTTTGAAGTACAGCTCACTTACTCCATTACTTCCACTGAAGCTACAGAATGACATGTGTGTTCATTCACATTTTGGCTCCATTTCTAGCCCATCTTAGATACAAAGGGGCTGGTACATGGACAGGAAAAGGAAAGGAGAGCGTTATTATCAGTCTTCCCAATATAAAAATCAACTCTCTGGCAACCGAGCATCAATCCAGCCAGAAGAGAAAGGACCAAAAGAAGCCCAACTGTGAGAAATGGCCAAAGAGCCGCAGGACAACAAGCAGTGATGCAAGAGAGCAATGAATAGGGCAGAACGCAAAATATTTCCCATTTTTGTATACAAATGTGAGACATATGGGGAACAAGCAAGATAAGGTGGAAGTCATAGCCTGTGAAAGGAATCATAATCTGACTGGTATCATAGGGTGCCTGCAGATGTGCTGTGCTGGGAGGCAGCTCCAGTGCGCTATAATTACTCGATTAATCGATTCTGCTGGAGCATGATAATTAGCACACTCCAGCCACCCTCCAAATCTTGAGTATCAGCATCTTCGCACTTCAAAATGGTGGCAGCGGTACTTTAACTAAAGTTTGTTCAACAAGCTTTAAAGCGCCCTCATTGCCATTTTGAAGCGCAGGGATGCTGATACATAAGACGCTGCAGGCAGTTTAATTACAGCGGTTCTCAGAGCTGCTTAATTAAGGCGCTCCCCCCCCCAATGCGTAAAAACATCCAGAGAGACTTGGGTGAGACAACTTTTACACATGGCCCACCAACACTGAGGTCTACACTGTTTCAGAAGAACAGAGCTGAAGGAAAAGCTGTCAGCATTGCCTTGTATGTCAAAAATACATACACTTGTCCCCCTGGTTCAGGAGGAAAAAGGTAGCAGATGTAAATGCATTTTGGTGAAAAAAAAAGGTGAAAGATACAGCACTGTTATAATGGGGATTAACTACAGACCACTAAGTCAGGAAGAAGAGGTGTACAAGGTACACTTCAAGGGGGTGACAAAATTATCCAAAAGTTATAAAATTATACTGATGGGAGACTTCAAGTTTCCAGATATCTGATGGAAGAATGACACAGCCAACACAAACTGTTGAGCAAGTTCTTGTGTCGGGGACAACTTTCTGTTCCGGAAACTAGAGGATCATCTACTTTGGATCATGTCCTGCCCAACAGGGAAGACCTGGTAGAGGATGTGAAGATGACTGGTAACTTGGGAAGAAGCGATCATGATATGACAAAAATTATGATCCTGGCACTGGGAAAGCATGAGGTCAGCAGAACAAAGACACTGGATTTCAAAAGGCTGATTTAAATCAACGTGAGAATACAAGGAGAGACTGAAGGATAAAAGCACCAAGGAGGGCTGGAAGCTTCTAAAGGGCACAGTATTGGAAGACTAACTGGACAGCAGCACTACGGGAAAGGATTTAGGCATCTTGCTGGATCACAGACTCAATAGGAGCCTGCAGTGTGATGCAGCCACAAAAAGGCAGATGAGGTTTTGAGTTGCATAACAAGGAGTATAAGTTCAAGATACAAAAGGCGATGGTGCCTCTTTCCTTAGCACAAGTAGGTCTCATCTAGAGTACTGTGTGAAGTTTTCGGCTCCTTGTTTTAAAAAGGACACACAGAAGTTAGAGAAGGTCCAGAGGCAGGCAACAAAAACAAAGGGCTTAGAAGACCAGCCAAACAAGAAGAGGCTGAAGGAGCAAGGCATGTGCAGCTTATGGAAAAGGCACTTAAGTGAGGACATGATAGCAGTCCTCAAAGACCTATTTTTCTATGATTCTACTAACTTTACTACAAATCTACCATGAGCAGCAGCTGTGGCTGTAGCAACCTCCCCAGGTTAGATAATCTAAGTAATCTAGAACCTAAGTAGATAAAATACAGTCTCCAAATCTTTGCTGCTCTCAATCCAAAGTCCTGGCCAGGCCAGGAGAAGAAAGAGCAAAAGTCTAATGCACTTTCAACAGAAGCCCTGAAAATAGCCGAGCATATGCTGGAAGATGCCCCCAGAATTTTAAATTAAAAAAAAGTCAGAAAACAGATCCCAAACCCCCAGCTATTTTCAGAGGCACGCTGTCTTATACACACTGTCCAAACAGAACCTTGTAAGGAAGGGCTGCTAGAGAATGAAGTGAGTACACAGCAGAGTAAGAATTGCCCAAGGGACTTTGCTGACTCACTTTATTCTTCATTCAGCCAATAAACACAACGGTCAACAGAGAAATCCTATCCACCAGGCCTGCTATCTGCTGAATGACATCATGAGTCTCTGAACACATATACTCACGCCTCTTTGTAGTACACAGTGAAGCTAATAAGATCTCTGTAATCCGGAGGGCGGTATCGTTCCCAGGTCAACTTAATGCGGTTCTTCAGGGTGGTGTTGGAGACAAAGCGCAGAATATGGCTTTCACCTGCAGCAAAAACAAATGACAGCAACTGCTGCAGTCAGTTTGATTCACCTCCTAGAGATTGGGCGGCTGCATTTCATAAAACTCTGCTTTTTGGTGCCATCTAGCTCAGGCCCAGGATACCATACTATAGTGTGGATTCCTTAACTTCCTACTCTCCCCCCTCACCCTTTTATTTATTCCAAAGCAGCTGGTGAAGATTTGGTAATGACATTACGATATGTAGAAAAAATGCACTCCGCTACTTCTACAATTTAGTTATAAAACAGGACATTTAAGAGGATCATTAGAATAAGGGCCAAAGATGCTCAGGATTTTTTCTTTTAAGATTTGACTAACAGGAAACAGTTTTAAATAACTAAATTACTGGATTTAATTTGTAATAAAATTTTTCAGTCTGTCTGAAACTTCTGGCTATGGTTATAAGTTCTAGTGATGATTTTTTTTTTGTTGAAAGCAGCTAGAAATGAGGCATCTGATATTTTTGAATAGCTAAGTACCTTTCCTTCAGCACTTTTAAAGGCCAGATTTTGAGTCCTCAACTAACAATCTGTTTTCATCTCCTTGTAAAAGGAGTTGTATTAATATGTAGGCAACTATGTAGAGGGTGA